TATTTTATTTTTTTTGGCCAATAATTTTTTTTTTAATTCCTTGACAGGGAAAGAAAAAAATGTGAGATGTGAGCTAAGAATTTATAGATTAAAAAAATAAAAATACAAGATGTAAACTTGGAACTATGAGAAAAAATTTAATTCTGAGTTTATATCTTGCAATTTACCTTTTCTTTTTTTTTTCTCTCAGAACTGTGAGGGGAAAAGTCCAAATTGTGATATGAAAAAGTCACAATTACCTTTTGAATTTTTTAATTCCTTGGTGGGGAAAAAAACTGAATTACAGAATTGTTAGATAAAACCAGATTTCAATGAAAAAAGGACAGAATTGCAAGATATAAACTGTCTGAAAAAAAATGTCTGAGCTTATATCTCGCAATTCTGAAAAAAGTCACAATTACCTTTTTTATTTTTTCAAACAGTGGTGGAAACGGGCTTCTGTAGAAAACCAATTTAACTTTAGTTAAAAGTTATAAATTGAAATGGAAACATGGAATATGTAGTTACCAGTGCCAGGCTCCCACTCACAGACAAACATTGAGGGATGAAGAAATGACAGTCTTGCTTAAAACAACAAGTGTTTATTTGAATCCCAACATGTACATGACTTTTCATGCCACCCTGTGTTGTGCTTCCTGTCTTTGCAAGTTTAATAATGAACCAAATGAGAGATGTAGTTTTAACATTCTTATTTTTGTTATATACTGTATTTCAGACATTGTGTATGTGGTGTATAGGAGCAAAAAAAAGATTTTAAATTGCAGATATTTATGTGCTGGTGCTCCACTGTACAGTAGCTTGTATTCGCATGTCTATAGTTATATACCTGAAGATAATGTACATAGCGATGCCATTTTGACTACAAGCACCTGACTAACAGCAGTTGTGACATTTCGAGCAATGTACCGAGATGCTTTTGAAGCTTTTCTTTCTTGCACAAGCACAGAGAACTAACAAATCAGAACAGGTTTAGACTTGTTTTACTCTTGATGTCTGAAAACAGACACTCTGCATTAGAAAGCAACACAATAATAGACCTTTTACACGGCTCACGTTACTCCATATGTTCATGTGTGTGGACATTTTCTATACATGCACATGTACATATTTAAATCATTGTGGTGTA